CCCTCCCTCCCATCCATCCATCCATCCATCCATCCATCCATCCATCCATCCATCCATCCATCTCACTGCCTGCCTGCCTGCCTGCCTTCCTCAAAAGCTCCAGAAATAGTGAATTATGAACCTTTGGGGCTTGAGGCCGATATGTGGTGAGTGAAATAAAATTCTACTTCTTACTGGGCTCGTAAGTTGGAGAGCAAAGAAAGTAATATATCAGTCCCAAATGTTTAAAGGCAGATATTCCAGCACTGTTCCTGGACAGAACTTGTAGTTTTTGAAAACCACAGCAGTTTCAAGTTGGCACTCTTAACCAAAGTTGTAGTTTCTGAACTCCAGATAGTGTTGGATGCATGTTGGGAATTGCTTAGATTGGTCCCAATCTGGATTCAAACCTGATTTTGGAAGACGAGTTTGGTTGCCTTCTTGAATGACATCTATTGAGGAACAGATTGGGGATAAAGGGGAAATTACTGGGTTTGGTGGTCTTTTGAGTTGCATCTGAAGCTGTTCAGAAGGATGTCCTTTCAGGTAGCCTACCTGGGTTCACTTCATCTTGCATGACCTCTCATGAAAGATTGTACTCAAGGACTTCTGCTCCACCCCTGGCCATGGTCTGCCAACTTCTTGCTTCTTTTTTCCAAATTGCATATGAACCCTCTTGTGCAGTGTTGTCCAAACTTGGCCATTTTAAGATGAGTGGACTTCAACTCCCAGAATTCCCCAGCCAGCCATGCTGCTCTAGGGGAACCTCTAATAACAGAGAAGCAAGGTGCCATGTCACCCTACTTGCTTCTTTTGAGAGCTTTAGATGCTGGAGAATCTCCTTTCCATTACTGTAAATAAAAAGCAGGAAACCAAACTTACCAAAAAGTTAGGAGTGGAAATGTATTACCTCTTCTGATGATCCTCCCCCCTCCCCTCCATCAGGCTTTCATTTCTTAACAGAATTGACAGATGTATGTGTGTGTCCAGAAGTGGCACTGGAGCAGAACAGTGCAGAGCTATGGGAGGGTTGCTCCACCATAACAGAAGCAGTCAATGCGCTGTGTAGCCTTAAGGCTCAGTATCAAAAAAGACAAGGATGACTGTTAGCTTTAGGTGGGGCGTATTCATGGCAGATGAAATCTGTCAAGAACTCTTGATCTTGAGGACCCCATATTACCTCTGGATTGGTGACAGCAGCCCTCCAAATCCAAGTCAATGAAGGAAAGACATTTTATGAACTTGGGCTGGGTGACATATGGGTGAAGATGGCCCTTGGCCCAGTTCAGCAAGGCGTTCTTCAATCCTTAGCTTTGGTTTCTGCAGTTGTTTTTGGATTTGTGAAGATTTATTTATTTATTGGCCATAACTTGAATGTTGGTCCCGTCCAAGCAGAGGTCGGACCAGTGTCCATTCTTCAGTGTAATGAAAGTTTGCTTCTCTCTTCTTTTGTTCCTCTGCAGGAGCATCGGGGTCATCACTTACATCCTGTGAGTATTTCCAAATAAACGACGTGTTCGCCCATTTTTGGGCGGTGGGCCCCTTTACTTGTTCAAGGTTCTTCCCTCCTGCAGCAAAAGCAGGGGAAGGCACCTGCTGATCAAGGTGGTCCTGAGGACTGGCAGTGGAGGTGAAAGTTTCTCCCTTCAGACTGCAAGGCTCTTCAGATATTGTGGGGTTAGGCAGGCCTCGGGGGCAAAGAGAGGGGGGCCAGTCCAGAAGAAAGAGAAGGCTGTCTGCAGCCTAGATTGACCCAGCCTAATCTTGGGTTGTAGAGTAAACAGTAAGATTGGTTTTCCATCGTGACCTATCTGATTACAGTTGAAATTGAGAGACCAGCCATTTGAAACATTGCCTGACAGATACGGCTTAGAGCAGAGATGGAAGAGAACCTTCTGTGCCCGAAGCCATTTTTTCACCCTCCCGATGGACCACCATCGCTGAAAATTGGCAGTAGGGTTCCCCTCTATTTTAAGGATGAAAACTCATGAAAGCAATTGCGTAAGCCATGAAATAAACTTAACATTGTTTTAAAAACAAAGGAAGACATCAAAACTCTCCCTATCATTGACCACCTGGTTTTTGCCCTACAAAATGTTAGGGTGGCCCTATATAGCCAAAAAAGTTGTCTGTCTTTAATTTAGAGGTTTTTAACCTTAAAATCATGAGCGTGCCTCCTGCTGTTGTGCAAAAGGTCTCAGACTTGAAATGTTTCAAGTTTGAAACAGACTGTCTTGGTTTCAAAATGACTCTTCCAACTTCACCAGGGCAGCTGTTTTCCACTCAGCTTCTGGTAAGGTCAGAACGAGCTTCTTAGAACAAGTGGCTGGTTCGATTCAAGCTTGAAAATGTTGAATTTGAAATATTTGGCCCACCTCTACCACATGCTCGCCTTGCCACCTGACTCTTAGAAACCCGAAATGAGGTGTCTCATCACAAGCCCATCAGACTTCCAGTCGTTAAGATCCAAATATTTTAAATGAGGTTGAAGTGATATAAACAGTGGTTAAAGATACAGGATCTGCCTCCTCCCATATGAACAATTGTTGATGCTCTCCAGACATCTCTTCTCCTTTGTCTTTGGGGTTGCTGGGGCTGAGCTGTAGTTAAGTCTTTTTCCATTTCAGTGGGGTAAATTCCCCATGATTTATTTGTTTAAGGAAGGCATGAGAGGCCTTGTGGGGTGGGATTGGGATTTTCTACCTGAACCATGATCCTAGACCTGGCTTGATTGCCCTGGTGGCAAGGATAGACCTTGAAAGACAACAACCACTCATTTGGGCTTTGAAAAAGGCTTCATGGGATGAGAACAGTCAAGCACTCAGGGTCACTGATGGAGAAGGAAGGACGTGGTTTGGACTTCTCTTTTAGGGTTTTACACAAGCTAAACGCCCTGTCTTTAGGGCAGGCTGAAGAAACCAAGGTGGTTCAGCCTGGTGAAAAGATGGCAGAGGGGAGACACAATAGCCAAGTTCAGGTCCATCATGGGAAGCTACAGGGAAGATGGTCAGAAACTCTGTTCCATGGACACGGACATCATGAAGATGAGTTGCAGCTACCTAGATCTTGTTTAAATCTGAAGCAAAACTTCCTGATGGGAAGATGGGTTAGGAGAGTGGAACAGTCTACAATACTTGTGGAGGTGGTGGGCTTTCCATCTCTGGATGTTTCTGGAGCGTGCAGGACAGCTACTTCTCAAGGATAGTTTTGACTGGTTTTCTGGCTCCTTGCAGAGGGTTGGACTAGATCAGTGTTTCTCAAACTTGGCAACTTTAAGACATGTGGACTTCGACTCCCAGAATTCCCCAGCCAGCATGTCCACAGCAAGTCGAAGTCCACATGTCTTAAAGTTGCCAAGTTTGAGAAACACTGGACTAGATGATCCAGGGGAGACCTTCCACCTCCGTAATTCTACGATTCTAGAGTAGCAAGATTTGCGCTCCTTCCATACAGGGGACAACCCACATTCCCAGGACTTGATTTATTTATTTTAAAGAAGGGTTTACTTATTTATTTAAAGAGTTTATATGAGGCTGCCCAACTCACACCTCGTGACTCTGGGCAACGGACCTCGACTTTTTCTTTGGTACAATTCTGGCACCTTACTGGGTTCTTGGCGCTGAGGTTGCAGACGTTTCATTACCAGTCTAGGGAGCCTCATCAGTGCATGGGGGAGTTCACTGAAGATGCTCACTCGTCTGGTATGAAACGTCTGCAGGAAAGCCGCCAAGCTCGAGAACCCCAAGCATTCGACAGTTCAACCCAGAGCTGTGTATATTCTCCACAGCTGCAATCAGTTTTCTTTGCCTTGGCTCTTAAGACTTCCAAACGGTATTGCTTGCACTTAATTATACAAGTGAAACTGGCGGACGTTTGCCAACGGTTCTGCGCTTCTTGGCTGCTCCGTGGCCCCGGACCTCAGTCAAGGTGCTGGCCTTGGTCCGGGCGGTGGCTTGCTCCAGGTGGCCTGGGGCAGGGTCTTCTTTGTGTTGAGATGCAGAAGAATGATGCAAGACCCTTCCTCCTGCAGCTTGAGTGGCGCCTCTCCATTCTTGGGGGAAACGAAGCAGGAGACCTTGACCAACATTTCTGCTGTGAATTATGACTTTGACGAGGAATACTTCAGCAACACCAGCGAACTGGCCAAGGACTTCATTCGGCGACTGCTTGTGAAGGACCCCAAGTAGGAGGCTGGGTGTGACATGGTGAGGGAGGGTGGGAGAGTTTTCATTTTAGAAGGTTGAAGGAGATCTTCTCAGGACCAAGCAGAAGACCTGATATCAAAATATAAATATGAATGAGGTTAGCAAAGGAGGGCCAGAGGTAGACTAGCAGTTTGGAGCGCTCTGGGGAGAAGTGTTTCAAGTTGGGAGAATTGTGATGGAGGATCCAGCCTGTTTATTTGTGGCTGTAATGCTTTGGGAACCGCGCACTCTCTGCCAGCCTGGCAGTTCAGGAAGGGCAAAAACAGAGGACCCAAAAGAGGCGCTTCTCTTTCTGGTGGCCTACATTTGCAGCTTTTTCTGAACCTCCCTGCTCCTCCCAGTGATTAGCAGAAAGCTGAATAAATCAGCAGTGGACGCTCCCATGTGCCAAACCTGTTTGACCTGAAGCATTTTTGCATGCCATAGTACACTTTTATGCTGCAAGATTTCTGCAGTTTTTTTTAAAAGGGCATTATCTACCCGGTCTTGGAAAGACTGCAAAGGAGAGGTCTTATTTACTTCTCAAAAGCTGGGCGTATAATTTTGGAGCAGGACAGGAAAGTGGCACCAAAGTTTGGGCTGAGTTTTCTTCCGTCCTCCTGAGGAGGTGACTTGCAGTCAGTGTTCTCCTCAGAAGGGTCCTGAAGTATGGTGGTCACCAGCTGGTGATGCACGAGGGTGCTAAATTTTGGAGAGGTTCTCCACAACTGACGGGAGTAGAATTTCACTCTCCTTTCTTTCCATAAATTTTGCACAGATCCTAGAATTGACTGTTGTTCCTTTTGATGATTGCAGGAAACGAATGACGATCGACCAGAGCCTGGAGCATCCGTGGATCAAGGTAAAAGTAAAGTCATGCAAAAGAGTCTTGATGTTTTAAGACTTTTTTCCCCACATTTTAGCGGAAAGGGCCAGCAACTCAGGCACCAGCTGTTAACATCACATTGATTGTTGATTGATTGATTGATTGATTGATTGATTGTATTTATATAGCCACCCATCTCACAGAAAAGTGACTCTTACATGTCGGGGATTCTCTTGAAATCAATATTCTCTGGAAATCAATATATTTCCCTCCACGGACAGTCTGTGCTGGTAAACCGTCTGCTAGGTTTCCCCAGAGAGACCTGGGTTGGCGAAAAGGTTTGGTGGCCTGTCTAGCCTAAATATGAGGCAGTTGGCAGATTTACTGAGCCAACTCCTTCCTCAGCAACCAGGCTTTGAGAAATTTCAAGCCAAAGTTGGATACCCATTTGTCTGAGATGGAACTATGGATTCCTCCCAGCCCCATGGGTCTATGACCTCCCCTTGAGCCCTATGACTCTATGCCCTCCAAGGTCCCTTCAGCCCTATGAGTCTCTGACCTCCAAGGTCCCTTCCAGCCTCATGAGTCTATAACCTCCAAGGTCCCTTCCAGCCTCATGAGTCTCTGACCTCCAAGGTCCCTTCCAGCCTCATGAGTCTATGACCTCCAAGGTCCCTTCCAGCCTCATGAGTCTATGACCTCCAAGATCCTTCCAGCCCTATAAGTCTATGTTACTATGATCTCCAAGGTCCCTTCCAACCTTTCTCTTCCTTTGTTTTTAACCAGTGGTATCACAGAAGCTCTAGGGTAGAGGATGGATGGAGGAAAGTCTTTCAGAAAGGAGAATGAGCACTTAAATGTTTTCCCTCCATCCTGGCTGTGTTCACACAACATGCATAACACAGCTAGTTAAAGTTCCAACAACTGTGTTCACACCACATGCTAAGCTAGGTTTAGCTTCTTTGGTGGCTTAGCATGTTGTGCCAGTGTGCCCTGCTTATAGATCAGTGCATGGTGTGAGCCCAGAAAATGGGTTAATTCAGCAACTAGGTTCAGCCTGTTGTCTGGATGGAGTCAAGGTGTTGTCTGGCCTGTGTATTCTCATGACTCTACCACTTCAGGTTGAAATGGGATGGCCACGTTTCCTCTGCTTCCCCACCTCTTTGCTGGGTGTGTGGTGTGCTTAGCAAGCTAAAAGTCAGCCTAAGGCAGTGTTGTGTTGCCCAATTCCCCTTTACCTCTTAGTGGGGTAGGATTCCAACAAAAAAAACACAACACCAGCCCAGCTCGAGACGTGG